GTTCCAACTTTGGGGCCAAAGCGGCTGATTTGTCTAAGAGGGTTGCTAGCTAAAAGATTGCCAAACCTCATAGAATTACATCTAGGACCCCTCTTTGCCTTTGCAATAGATGTTTTTTGCTCTTTTCATTTTTTCATTTTCGATTTTCCCCAATCCTTTTCAATATATACATGCCTAGGGGCCCATTGTTTATGGGGCTTCCATCCCTCGCATCACCCTGGGGTTTGACCTCGCAGGACCTGGGCGGCGACGCCCAGGCGGCGCAGCGGCTGGGGGATCTGGATGAGCGGTGTCACAGGCGCGAGTCGCGCGCTTCGCGCGCAGGCGACGGGCTGCGTGGGTTGCTTCCTTTTTTTCAACTTTTCTTGAGGAAGGGTTTCGATTCCTTGAAAGTCCAGATGCAGATGAGAAATTAGATTCAGATGAGAAATGGAATGGCGGCAACTTGTAAACCATCCAACTGGTGATTTCCTTGGAAAATCCCCTTCCGGTTCATTTTTGCCTTTACTGAGCACCAGTGAGTTACGTCTTTTTGGCGAGTGGATCTTTGGACTTTTTGGGTCGAAGCAGCTCGGATTTTCCGAATTGGACCCGCAACAAGTGAGACACTTTTGGCAGAGGGGTCAACCGCAACCAAAAAACAAGCAGTTTCCATAGCCTTGAGGGAATTCTAAATGAGTCCACCCAACTTTTAATTTCGACATGCAGCAGGTGAAGTCGACGAAACGATTCCGTCGGGCAAACATTGTCCTGCGGAAACGTTTCAGCCCAGACTGCGTTGCATGTTTAGGGGGCTGCAAACCAAAACGTCTATTGCCAGACCAAGTTCAAGGTTGGACATGTACTCTACCCTGTGCTGTCTTCGGCCAGTCGATGGGACAAACAGAACATGTTGCCGCCCTTGGAACATCGCGTGGCAGCTTCCGAGCAACTTGCTTGGTTTGGCCGCTTCAGAAGACAATGCTGACCCCCATTCATTGTTCATGAAGACAGACGCCAACCAACAAAGACGGATTTGGCTCAGATCCTGTCAGCATCTTGGATTGTGTTTTGCTCATGGCTCGACCTCCAAGCCCAATGTTGAAGTTCACTGCCTGGTTGGGTTTCGGAACGAGCCAATGAACAACGGACGGTCTTTTTCCATTTCAGCAGAGGGTCAACCAAGTAAACCAGCAAACAAGAGTTTTCCGACAGGCAGCGGTTCAACCATCCTGGAGATAGTACCGTCTGCCCTCACACAAACCAAACTGCAGTGCACAGGCCCTCTTTCTCAAAGGCGACTATTCTTCCAATGGGGGTCCCCATGTTCCCATTGGCTTTAAGCATCACCTTTGGGGGCCAAAAAGTGGGTTCCCATCTAGAAATTATCAGGGGTGCTGTTGAAAGGAGAAACAGTAGGAGCCATGTTTATCCAACACCTTATGTGAGTGTGTCTTTGGAACATCTTGCTACTTGCTTTTGGAATCATTTCAGAGAAACCCATGTGATGGCCGCTTCGGTTACCCTTGCGGTTTGGGGTTCCATGCGGTTTGGCTAGGTACCTTTGGCTGGCCGTGGCTTGTCCTTCAGTGGTGGACATCCCACCGGGGCAGGCGGGGAAGGCAGTGCTTTGCGATGGGGGGTGGGGTGGGGAGTTTGGTTGTGAACATCTGCCCCTCTGCCTAGGCATGCCCCAACCATGATTGCAGCCATGGGCCATTCTGTTTCAGCAGCACTCACTTTAAGGAGTTACGCTCATGCCATTGATCTCAGGAAAGCGGGGAAAATCGCAGCTTGTGCCGATTTGGTCCACGCTGAGCTCAGCGATCCGCATGAGTTGGGAGAGCAGGTAATTTTGAGGACCTATGGTGATTCCTCATGCGCGACGAATTGGATCTTCGGCTTTCCGCAGCCCTGCAAGTCGACCAGCTCGTGCTGCTTGCCCGACGAGTTGCCCGAACCGAAGCGACTGGATCCGGCAGTTTGGCTTTGCAGGTGTTCAAAGGTCACAAAAGGTCTGCTCAGGGAAATCCAGTTCCTCTCTGTTCGCTCGTCAATGTTATAGGGCTAACTTCCTCATTCTTTGCAAGGATCCTTCTTTCCAGACAAGCCACCAAAGGCCCACGGGAAGGCAATGCTGGCTTCTGAACAGGCGGATGGTCGAATCGAGCAACAAGCAATAGACACACCCTAGACAATGGACAACATAACAATGTTATTGTCATTTTGCTGGCTGTTCCAAACCTACTGGGGGTTCAGGAGCAGTTCAACAGAATGGACAGAAGACAAGGGAATGAAGCCCCACGTCTTGCCCAGCCGACCCCGGCCAGGAGCGGCTTCGGCTGCGGCTGGAGGACGGGGGGGAGCCTCGCTGGATCCCCACGGACCTGCCGGGGTACTCAATCGACTCAGGGTCGTGCGAGGCGATCTGTTGGTGTGTGTTCTTTGAGGGTACCCTTTTTGAGGTTGGTTTAGAGGGAAGCCACAAAATTTTGACGTATATTTTCCAGCTTTTGCCATGGCGCTTTGGCATTGTTTGTCCAAATTGCCGGTTTTACGCCATGCGTTTCAAGCACTTGAGGCCATGGATTCCTTGGGAAACCAAATTGCGGTTGTGTCAAGAGCGAATCAAACATGTTTAAACACTTGTCCCCGCCCTTTCTGTTTTGCTGCTCAAGGTTTCCCTTTTGCTTCAACTCCGCGTCACAGTTGCTGACCGGTGTTGAACGAACTTTGAAGAGCACCTTCGTGTACTTGCGTAAGATGCTGCGAGTTTTGAATTGAACGGATTCATAGAACTGCTAGGTGCATATCATGGTCTTATACATTTCATGGCACTGGAATCATAACGTTATCCAGCTAAAGTAGCATCATGTGTGCACCATGTGCAAGTCGATATGCAGCTGCTACTTCTTGAAGGCAACGCTCCACTAGTTTATTAGCTGGTGATTGGCTAGTGACAATGCACCCCATGTTCTTTGCACAGATTGAAGTCATGTTGTGGTGGTTGTGGACCACCACCATGAGACTTGATGAACTTATCACATACAGCACGCTGTGCTCATCAAGTACTTATCCATGACTCAGAATGTGATGTTCGCCAGGACTGTGCGAATCTTTGCTCAACTGGGAGCTTCGAGTCTCTTTGATCTTGCCGTGAGCAATGCTGATTTCCCGTATCATGCATGGCTTGCTAGCCGAAGCTGAGCCCCTTGCGTGCAAGTTGTAACAAACTGGCTATGCTAGCATCAAACTGCATGGGCATCTTGTGTGACCTTTGAGCTGCTCCTGCTGCATCCGCATGGTGAGCATACGCATTTGCTGCGACTTTTTGTTTGAACAACAACAGCATGCTTATGCAAGAAGAGCGTACCGTGCACTTTGTTCAGCTGTATATTCTCATTATTGTGGCGCGTTTCATTTGTCGGCTCATTTTTTCTCACCGTTATGCTGACCTTGTAAATCTTTGTTACACGTCTTTGGTTGAGCAATGGCTTCAAGGCGCCATCAAACACGGAGGCTCTGCAGATTTCACGCTTCCCCTTTGCAAAGGATATTCTTTACAATGCTTTTTATACTTGGCCTGGCCGTAGCAGTCAAGTTGCGGTGAGAAAAGACAAGACGTCAGCACAGAGTTCTTTCTCCCCTCCCCAAAGGGGCCCACTCAGGTATTCACAGGCCTTGTTTTTGGCCCGCGTCGCTCGTAGCTCGAAGCTGAGGCTGGAGTCAGAGATCTTCCCCAACGGCACCGCCCGCGGCCCCAAGCGATCCGATTCGCTGCCAGGGCTTCGGGCCTGCAAGGAGCTCAGGCTTTTAGCAGCTACTGTGGATGGTTGCGAAATCCATTTCGCAGCACCGTTCAGAAACCCTGGTTTCTGATGATTCCCCAATGTAATTACCAACAAACACTGGCTTCAACCATGGTTTCAAAGTGGTGCGAAATGGATTTCGTCCATCCACAGTATCATAAAAAGGATCCTCTTTTCAAGTTGCCAGAAAAGAGTTTGGCACGAAGTTTTCTCCCCTCGTGAGGATTCCGCGGGCCGGGGCTCCGTGGGCGACGGGGTGCATGCTGAAATGGGTGGGCCCGTGTTTTGGAGTCACAAAGGGAGATCAAAAGGAACACCTTGGTTCGGGCAAGGCCTGGGAGCATGAGTATGTTGCAAAAGAGTTCTCTTTGCCATCGCATCCAAATGAGCTTCTTGGCTTCAAATGTCTGTTCCAACATAGTCTCGTATCATGGCATCAACACCTCGATTGGGGTTAAAGGAATATCCGCCCAAAGCGCGTTTAAGACACGCCCAAAAGTTCCTTTCCTTCGGTTCTTGCTGGTTCTAGGGAACACCAGTATTCCCATATAGTCATGGCCGTGGCCGTGATCACAGTTACATATTTTTCAGCATGCGGGTGTCCCAATGGTTTCCCGTTCGGTCTTTCTGCGGGGTCCGATGTGTCTGGGGAATAGAACCGGACAAGGCAAACGTTGATTGGATTTTCCGTGCGAATCATGACTCTTTGCGACTCCACCCTGCCGACCAGCAAATAAGCCAACGGCAAAGCTGTGATGCCCTTCTCACGGTTTCTTTCTTTCTTTCTTTCTATCTTTCTTTCTTTCTATCTTTCTTTCTTTCTATCTATCTTTCTTTCTTTCTTTGTTTCTTTTTTTTTCTCTCTCTCTCTCTCTGTCTCTCTCTCCTTTCTCGCTCTCTGGCTGTCTGTCTCGCAGCTGCTGCGCCCGTTCGCGGCGACCTCGGCTTGCAGCTTTTTTAGGCAGTGTTGCAGCTTGCCGGGCAAGAGTCTTTCCTCCGCGGACAGCAATGGGTGCAACAGTTTGTCAGGCAAAGCAACAGCTGGTTGCACCAGGACTCATTCAATTGGTTTGGGAAGACTCAACGCGCCTCGTTGGGTGACATCACGGTTCCCAGAAAATGGGGCACTCCTAATGGCTGTCCCTAAATGCATCCTCGGCGAAGATTTGAACATTGGAACCTCGGGGTACATTGCTCTCGCCGAATCTCGACATGGAGGATTCCACAGAGGCGAGCGAGGCGCGGCAGTGCGCAGTTGTCACGCCCCTGGGTTTTCTTTAGAAAAGGACACGGGCCTTCCCCTATTTTGGGTTTTAAGTTAAGGTGATGCTTAAGGGGGAAACATAAGGAGCGCTGGAGGATGGTCCGTCAAGGGTCCATAGATTTCCCTTGGACATCACTTTTTGTGGAGGCCAAAGTTGATGTCGTTTCTCTTGAGGGTGAGGTTTGGGGGAATGGCTTGGGTAATGTCAACTTCGGATATATCCGGAGGACCACACTAATCAGGAGTGGTTGCCCTGTGTGTGGGGATTTGTCAGATGAGCATGGCCCGTTGAACGGTTGCTTGAAGGGTCCAAGTACCCTTTTAGGACTCTTTTGGGGTACTCGCCAAATTGGGTACAAAACAGCCAGCCTAAAGGATAAAGTCGCATAATTCTTTCCAGCAAGGGGTTCCCTTTCTATCTCTCCAAGAGGGATTGCGGATTTGGATTGGCCAGCCCTCCATTTCAATGCCTGTCAGAAGCCCAACCAAAATGGTAGGGGGGTAATGACTTTGTAGATCCTTGCATTGTACAGACTTCCTGGGCTGGGTTGTAGTTACTGCCAGGAAAGCCAGACACCAAACGGAGGTTTCGACGAGCGCGAACAGACTCTGGGATCCAAAAGCCTGACCCTTTGAACGATGACTTCAACCCACATTGTTTGAACATATCTAGGGTCACCCAATGAAGGGGTCTCACAACGTTGGTTGTGACATTGTAGAGGCTGGATACGTGCAATTCACAGTGTAAACAGGTGGAGCCAAGGATTTCTCGTTTTCCTCCTTTTTTTTCAGGGGGGGCCTCTTTCACCAACTTTTCCACTACGTGCAGATCCGTAGGAGCATGTGGATGCTAGCAGTGGTTCACCTCTGAGCACTTGTCGGAGTGGATTCATTACGATCCTAGAAATACTCAGATTGCGGATCCCTGCAAGAGTGACCCCCAGGATACAAAGGAAGGCTAGTGGGGGAAGAGGTAACCTCCACGAGCATAGTCAGGCATAGGAGTGAGTCACTGGCCTGCAAACAGTACTGAGGCAGCAGGGGCCCAGCCCAAATGATTTGAAGATGATGCATATGATGGGCATGAATTCCGTAGGTTTGTGGGGTTTGCGGCAGAACCAAGTTCAGTTTCGCTGAAACCCTAAGAGGCCGAAGGGCCGTTTTGACGCCTAGGTGCTGGACGACTGCGAGGAGCGGCTGGTTTTGCCGGGTGTGTGTCTCTGTGTGTGTGTGTGTCTCTGTGTCTCTGTGTCTCTGTGTCTCTGTGTCTCTGTGTCTCTGTGTCTCTGTGTCTCTGTGTCTCTGTGTCTCTGTGTCTCTGTGTGCGCGTGTCTGTGTTTTTGAGTGTACCCTTTTCAGGTTGCTTGAAAGGGACACCTAAATAGAACGGACAGCTGCCATTTTTTGGGTCCCCTATTTCGACACATTCCATGTGTTGTTTGTTTTGATTTGTCCTTGACAGTTGTAAAGGAGCCATGACCACAATCCACGTAAGGAATTTTGACCATGGGTCACATGAGAGAAATAGAGCATGTTGAATAGGGGCTCCCACAAAACAAATGGTGTTCTTACCTCTGTTTCCTTTAAGACAGGCTTTCGCCCAGCATGGCACCAGCTTTACACAGACGCAGATGTACTCACAGGCTCTTCGCGGAGTGCACCACTCCTTTCGGCCTTGAGTCCAGTTTGAGTGGGCCTTGACCAAGATGTGATTCTTTACTCCCCCCAGTTGGGCGCAGGGCAGGTTTCCATCAGTGAGCTCGAGGTCCCTTGGGGCCCTTGGGGCCCTCGACTTTCACTGCTCTCTTCCTTCAAGGCCTGTTTCGAGGGCGAGCCGGTGCTGCGGACGAAGACGGAGAGCTGGACTCAATTACCTGAAGGCCGGAGGGCCCATAGGAGGTGAGAAGAATCGCCCCAACAAGGGCGAGTTGCATGGCAGAGTGCCCCCCACGAGTGCCCACTTGTTGGCTTGATACCGCCCTAAAGGTTTGCTATATGGGGCCGCGAAGGTGAGGGGTTTGCTTGAGTGATATGAGTTACGGGCTGCCGAAAAGGGGAAATGGTTAAAAGGCACGTGATGCCGTGCGAACTCTATTGCCCACAACATCCCAATGCCGCAGGTGAAGGACATTGCAAGGGCAGCACTTCATCCCTGTCAAATTCGAAGGCTCAGAGGGTTTGCTTACCAAAGGCTGTTTGCACTTTTGCGGGTTCAGCCCTTGTCCTTTTGAATGTGTAGAAACCTTCAGGGCTGCCCTTTATTTGGAACCAACTTGACACTCAGAGAGCCTCCTTTCAGCCAAAAATGTTAAGTGACACCGACGGAGAGCCTACGTGACAGCCAGCTGGCTTTCCAGGCCGCCGAGGCATCCGCGTGTCGGAGCTTTGGGACTTCTATCGGCCTCAGACGGAGTGGCTGGAGCAGCTGAGGCCGGGAAACTTGCGGCGTGACAAAAACGAGTGCCTCACCCTTTGGGATGGCTTTATCTTGAAGGGAAATCAGAACGGGCAACTGGTTTATACGCAGTGTGAGCCCTGGGCTGCAACTTCATTACTCCGAAGTTAACATAAAACTTCAGTCGTTTATTTGTTGTCCTTGGTGCTCCTTGGCGGGAGGCCGAGAGAAGGCTGAATCTTCGAAGTGTGCTTTTGACCTGGTTGCCTCAAAGACCCTGGTATTTTGGGAGCGACCGCACGAAGGGGTTTATCGCCGGGGGTTTAGATCCTCGTTTTCAAAGTGGGCGATGCATTGCGTGCCTTCTGCCAACTTTCAAACTTAGCAGCACCCTTTTCTTCAAACTGGTTTGGACGCGTTCCCATAGCAACCATCCGAAAGCAGAAGGGGTGCCCAGTTTCCGCACCCCCAACCTCATCCCAGACAGCGATGCTTTGACCTTTCAGTCAGGGGATCCAAAAGTGTTAAGCAGCTTCCTGCTTCACAAAACAGCTTGCTTGTAGATCCACTCGATGGGCCCAATTTGGTCCTTCAGCTGAGTCACAATCCTTCGGGCCAGGTGGCGATGCGACATCTGCCACCAGCCCCTCGATGTGAGAAGCACCCCCAATTTTGTGTTGGCCATTCAGTGGGGAGTTCTACCACCCAGTTTAAGGGGATTTCGTTGGGATTAGAGCGAGCCCTTTCTAAACCTTTATGACCCTCTTGGGCGTCGGGACTGGTCGGAGGGCAATTGGTAAAATGGTCCCAAGAGTTCCGAGCTTTCTTCAGGGATGCGTCACCCCAATTGAAAGCATAGCTCAGAGGGCGTCTCAGGGACGTGGGCTTTCAGAGGTCCTTCAAGTTCCACCATGCTTGTTTTTACTGTTGTAGGTTCTCTCTCTCTCTCTCTACGTGTCTCTGATTTTCTATTTTTTAAACACATATATTTGTTTATTTGAAGCTATATGTCTATATTATGTATATAAACATGTTTTCGACTTACACATAATATACGCAGACACAACACATGTCTGTATCAATGCACACAGACATAGATACAGTTGTTTTCTCCTTTGAACATCACCCGCTCTCACAGAGACATTGTCAACCAGGTGATTGTGGCAGCAACACAAGAAGGGAACACCAGCTTCCATTTTCTGGTGCATGTGTTTCGGTAGCAGACAGGCGACATTCTTTGAGACAGCTCCACTTCCGGGTTTTGTGACGAGGAGTTCCTGTGGGAAAATCAATCCACGAGGCATGAGACAAAGAAGTCGCTCGCTTCGTACCCGAAAGCTTGTCATGCCGAGGCTTCGGCTCATTTGGGCTGTTGGGTCCCAATGTGACAATACAATGGAGGTGGTCAAGAGCGGTTTTTCAAGAGGACTGCTGCAACTTGAGGTCGTCTATTGAGATGATGAACTCATTTCCGCGGGTGACCGCTCCAGTTTCTTGCCTCACAACGTGCCCTTCGACTTGGAAGACGACTCGGCGACTGTTGTATACATATATATATATATATACATAGACATTTCTACGTTTTATTAGTCCAGGTTCCCCTACTGGTCCCTTTGGCGGCCCAGGTCTTGCGTTTGCGCTGCCTGCCTTGGAGACATGCCCGGGGCCCGGATTCGGATTTGGCACGGGGGGGACCCTTGACACGTCATTCTCTCAATCTCCAGTTGAACGTTGACCCCGCATTAATAAACCCCTGTTCATTGATATGGGGGAGTCCCCGGTTTTAGTGGGGGATTTATGTTTTCGAGGGAACACCCCCATATTAATAAACAGGGGTTTATTAATTCGGGATCAACATTAGGTGTGTTCTCAGAATGAAGGGCGCCCTGGGCGCCAGGGGTCAAAATGAGGCCATCTTCTTGACCACTCCCCATCTACCAACTGCGAAGGCAGATGGCTTGGGAAGCTTAGGGCCTTGGTACGGGAACCGAAAGACGACACCTACGCCGGACGTTGGAGGAAACACTCGCTGGCTGAAAGATGGCAGAATTCCATGGGTGGCTGCCGTTTGCTTGCCGCCTGGGAATTCTGCCGTCTTTCTCCCTGGTGAAGGCCCCTGTCCATAGCTGCCGCTCTCACTTTTGACCCTCAGGCCCGAGGATTGCGAGCATCAGCAGCAGTGCTCTTGTGGGGGTGGGGATGGCGCCAAAGGCGCGGAGAAATGGCTGTGAATGCGAGGGAACGCCCCCCCCAAAACAGGGTTTCTCCGAGCTCATGATCATGGAACCCTGAAAGTTTCGCATGAATTTGGGCCAATTGGTCTTGCGGTCTTGGACATTTCTGGGAAACATGTTGGATTGTCCACAAGAGAAGGCAAGATGTACATTGCGCAATATAGAAGCTTCTTCATGAGCGCAGCCCTAAACTCCAATAAAGTACGGAATGTCACACAAATGCCACCTCCTTTCATGGGAAAGGCCAAAGCTGCTGGGCCAAATAAAAAGTCAAAAAGCCAATGCCCAAAGCATCAAAAGGACAAAGCAATGAAGCACAAGCAAGCCAACAACATGGGCAATCCACAGCCGCCCTCAGAAATGAAGCACGCGATCCTGCGTCACCTTTAAATCACCTCTTGAACCCGAGCGTGGGATGCTCAATACACACCAAGTCGTCCGGGTGATGCTTGAAACAGCAACTCCCCATGGTTTTCCCCGAACCACGTGCTTCCATGAACGCAAGACATCAGCTTCTGCAGTACACCTATCCTGGCTGTAGGCTCTTCTAGATGTTCCTTTACCAGGTCGTTCTGAAATGCGGCTGGGGGGAGGGGGGTCATCTTGCAGCATTTCCTTTGCAAGGCTGAAACCTGTTCAATCTTGCGAAACTCTGAGAGTGTTTGGTGACCAAGCTTGAGTGGATATCCAACACTTTGCTGTCATGGACACCTAAAGGTTGCTTGGCAGCTTGCCAAACTTTGGCGAACCCTTTCCTGAAAGATGGCCACACAACAAATTGGCCTCCAAGTCTCTAGCACATTTTTTTATTAAACCAACCATGTGCTAGATTTCCGACGTCCATGATCGCGGGACGATCTTGTTTTTCCGCTCACCCAGGTCACACAGGCCACCAAGGTAGCTTCATTCGGAAAGCTTGCAAACAAATGTGGGAGAGAGTGTGTGTGTGTGTCGCTCCCTCGTTACGTCAATCGTGGGCACCCCATTGTTTTCTAGTCAATGGAAAACCCAGGATCAATCAGACTCCGGATCACTTTTGGGAAAGGCTCTCTGAAGTCACTAGACTGATTCGGGCATAACGCTCGATAGGCGAAATGGAGACCAGGAACTTGTACGAGGTGGCCGCGGGGATGCAGCTCGGCCCCTTTAAGCGGGCGTTGTTGTTCTTTTGGGGGGGCCTACCCTCCCACCAACTAACATGGAAGTGCAACAAGGCCCTTTCCAAGAGGAAAGTAGTCTTTCTACAAGAGTCTGTGCACTTCCATGTTAGCTGGTGGGAGGGTACTCACTTGTGGGTTTTTAAAGGGAAGCCGAAAGGACAAGCCATTTTGGGAGGCTCCGAGCGATTTAGAGACCCCGTATATGCTTGTTGATCGCCGGCACCTCTACGGAAACAGGGACCTGAGGAAGCGACCTGGAAGGGCCCTATTTGTGACACCGGTCACCGAGGCTACGATCAACCCCATAGATGTAAAACCACGAAACCTCAGCTGTAATGTTAACCCCGGATTAATAAACTCCTGGTTGATTAATAGGGGGGTGTCCCCTTTTAGTGGGGATTCAGACCACTTTTGGAGGGAACACCCCCCTAATAATCAACCAGGGGTTTATTAATCCTGGGTCAACATTACCGTGGAAACCTCAGCTGTTTGTTGCCTGTTTTGTCGGCGGCTTCCTCTGAGATAAACTCAGCAGCTAAAGCATTCGGTGTACCAGTGGGCACTGCCAAAGAATAAACATCTCATGCGAGTAAGCCGACCATGCGCCATTCAGCTGGCATTCATTTAGCTTGCTCCCTGTTTGCATGCATTCTTTATTTAGCTGCAGGTTGTTTTGTATTTGCGCACTTGGGTTCCTTGTTTGTTTGGTTGCTTGCCCAGTTTTATCTTGCTTTCTTTGCGCGCTTTCTGCCTTTCCGGCGCCCAACCCTCCAATTGCTTGTTTTACCACTTCTGCTGAGTATCGTCCACAAAAAGCGGCCCTTAAGTTGGAGTTGAACAACCAAACGGGAGATTTTGCATGAACCCAAACAGGAGATTTGCACCTAGCTGAAAGCAGATGGGACAGGACACCCACTTTGCACTTGCCCAAAAGTAAAGGACAGCTTCCCGGTTTTCCACTTGTCCACAAAGGGAGCAGAAAACCAACTGGTCAAGATGGACTTCCGCAATTTCAGGTGCCTATTGATTTGCGCCAAGTTGATGCCTCTCGTCTCTCCTTCTACTTCCCTTTCGTATACCCCCACAATTGAAAAGTATACATAATATGTATATATATATATATATATTTATATGTAGATACACATATTAGCACATACTTTATATTTATGTACATACATACATGTATATATTTATATTATGCATCCTCTTGCCCAACCCCCCCCTCCCTCCCCCCACCCAGCTCCCACAAGGGCCCACCCTGTGCCCCCCATTCCAAAACCCCTGCCCCCTTACGCACAGCACCCCACCCAGGACCCAAGACAGGCCAACTAGCCTTAGACCCCTCTAAACCACCCCTAAATTACTAAACAAACCGCCTTAGTCCAAGCTTCTTCACCCACCCAAACCAACCCTAAAGCAACCCACATAAACCCGAAACCTTAAGTAAGCCCGAACAACACTCTACACCACACCCGAAACCCAAAGCAACCGCCTATCAATCAGGAATACCGCCCCCCCCCCCCGGCCCCCTACCCCAAACAACCCCCCCCCCACAGAAACCATGGGTCCACCAAGTTGTTAGTAGCTGTGAAGCAAGCACAGAACCTGAAGTGCGCGAGCCCAAACCGCCAAACCGCCTGAGGATCATCCCCGCCTGCGCCGCGCTCAAGGCGGAGACGGTTTCTCCATGGCGTTGGGTTTCTGAGTTGAAGCAACCAAAGCCCGAGCCCGTTTGCTTGCCGATTTCTGGGGTGTTGCTTCCAGATGAACTAACCAAAACCACCCAAGGATCTAGGAATCGGTCGGGCCTACGCAAAAAGCTTGGGCCTCAAAGTCAGAGACTGGGGCCTGTTTTCTCCACCCAAGGGCCGGCGAAAAGGGCATGGCTCTTCGGATCTCACTCGCCTGGATCTTGTGGAGTGGGATGTGTCCTGATATCTGGCTGGTGAGTTATAACAAGTGCAGGTGGGGTGGGTCCTAAACCGGGACATTTGGCATTCAGACCCATGGAATCCAAGCATAACTCACATAATATTTAGACCCCAGAACATGGACTCCGGATGTTGGCTCTGTACCATCCGCTGGCCAATTTGCCCCGAAGCCAGCACTCGTTACCTTCGAACCACAAGCAACAAGGAATGTGCTTTTGTCCCCAGGCCACCGGACAAGAACTTCAGACCTTTTTGGTCGCCATTTCCTGAGTCAGTGGCTCCGAACATCGGCCTCGTTGTTGTTCTTTTCCAAGGGCAAAGCACGTTCCCATGTTTTTCAGGATGGTCTGAACCGGCACCCTCGCCAGGTGTCCTACGTGGAGTTGCTCCGGCGCCGAGGCGTGGTGCAAGATGGACCTGACCTAAAATCGGACCCTCAAATGAAATGATGGTCAAAACCCCTAAAATCGGACCCTAAAATCGGACCCGTGGTCAACACCCCAAATGAAATCGGACCCTAAAATCGGTCTCCCCAGCAGTTTTCGGGGTGCATTTGGGGTACCTGGGCTCACGTCTCAGTCCAGCGGCTCCTTTTTTTGAACCAAACAGAGTTGCTCCGAGGCGGATCGAAGGGCAGAAAGTTGGAGTCGGTAGAGTCTCTTGGCCCATCTTCCACCCGGGTCTTCCTCCGGCCACTAGGTCAGCTGGAAAGGCTCCGCAAACTTGGCTCCTCCAAATGTGTTGCTGGTTGCACTTTTGAGTTCAACACTTGGGAAGACAACATGAAAGGCGGGGTCAACAAGTTTAAGTGCTAATGTCTTGAAAAGGTATTTGCAGGGGACAGTTTTACTTTGCCGTTTTTGCACGAAGCTTCTTTTGGCGTGGTGTGGGGGGAACCTTGTTGAATAGCTTGAAAGGGACTATTGCAGGCATCCCCCAAGCGAGTCACAACCAACTCCCCTAGAAAGAACAAACCAAGCCGAACAGAGTGGCTGAAGGTCGCCGAAGCACCAGGCACCAGGCACAACTGTCTGCCAGCAGCCTTGCGCTCAAGTAGGTACGCCTCAAAATCAGGAGCCCACTTCTGGATTGGTTCAAGAACAATTGGAAACATCAAATCAATCGCCCCTCTCCCACTTTGTGTGCTTCGCATGTTCGACATCATGTTGGTGCAGCTTCCCCCCGACAGCACGGGACTGAACGTGCGCTTTGAAGTGGTTGGGCACCTTTTCAGGACACTAACGTTTTCCCTTAGCAGCCTGGACCTGTTGGACAGGGGGAAGCTCGTCCGAGCAAGCTGGTAAGTCCCAACGTTTGATGGTTCCTCCCTATGGAAAATCATTTGTCGCAACCCGGTTTGACACCGGCAAACGAATTTCATTGCCACATGAATCGAGCTGTAGAGCTCCACATCCCTCTTAAATGCCGCAAGATGGCCCTTCGGCCCGAGGCAAGGGGGAGGAGTTCGACGGAGTGAAACCGGACACCTTCGTGTCGCACTGGTGGGGAGAGGACTGACCGCTGGATATTTTTTTGACGACTTCCACCAGGTTGGATTTGGATGGTTTCCAGGGAAGCCAGGAACCCAGCCATGCAAACCTCACTAGTTTGGGGATATACATACATATTGTCCTTGGAGTTGCATTCGATTTGGCAGATGTGGATTCATGTTGGCCCAGTGCTCACTCACCCCCAAAACTACACGCCCTGCTATGAAGCCGTAACACCTACCCAAAGTTCCCCTAAAAAAGATGTGGTTTTGGGTACACACACCCTGCCCATAGACCCTGAGCTAAACTCCATTCTCAGCTTGGTCTTTTGGTCATTTTCCCCAAGGTGGCCTGTTTCGTTTCAATTCTTGCCTGTCTCAACATGCCTGCTCTTTGGTTTGAGCTTTGTCAGCTGATCATTTCCAACCAGCCTCAAACAATCCTTCTTGCCGCAAGATGCTTTCTTCCCAGACGCGGACCACCCAACACATGCTTTCCTTTTGGCCTCGCTTTTCGAGAAGCGGCCCAACATTTTTTCGGCCGGCCTTTCGTCCCCTTCGAGGAGTTTCCCAAGTTTGTGCGCACGCTGACGGTCTTCGCGGAGAAGCGCTGCACGCTGCTGCCCTGGCTACACTTTTTTTACAAGCAGCGCGAATACGAGACCTGGTCCTTTTGGACCGGGCGAGCCAACGGTTGGAGACCGCAGGGTGTCGTTTTGTTGATGGGACCGGGTCCCAGAATGAGCGGGTTTTCCCCTCGGTTTCCCTGTCCCAAGGAAGGTTCTGGCCTTGGCGTATACCCCATAGCCCCATCGTTTTCCTTATTTCTAGCTGGCAGTTTGAAGGGAAACGAGCCCCCCACTGAACTGCACTCCCCTAAGTACAGCAAAAAGGTCCCTAGTGGGGGGCCCCACTGAACGGTAATCCGCTAGAGTAGCACCTGGGACTGAAACGCAGGGTTCGAAACCTGAGCTTCCGCGCAGTCCACGGGGCTACTTGCGACCCATTAGACGAGCTTGGGACAGAACGATTGCCTGCCTCTCTGAAAGTGCCATTTTGTTCTTGGAAGCCTTCCCCTGAGTAGCAAAAGGAGAGCCCTGGTTTGGTACGGGAGTCGGGGCTCTCGTCTGCCATTATTTTTTTTGGACGGGGGTGGGGGCGGTGGGGGGACAGGCCTAGCCGATCATCAACTTTGTAAGGCTCAGCATCAAAATGTTGGAGCGGTATATTGGATGCTTACAGTGTATGTCGCAAGCGCCTTTTTTAGGGCATCGCTTGTATGATAGGCTAGATGTGCTTCCTGTGTGAGGCTTGCTATTCCGGCTAAGAGAACTGGAAGCCGGTTTCACGGATGCTTGCTTGACCTTCATATGGGGGTGCAAGGTTTCCTTATTTTCTGACACTTTTGACTCCCATTTTGCGACACACACACACACACAATCCCTTTAAAGAGGGTTCCTACATTTCTGAGTCGTTTGATTTTATTTGGCTGAGGGGTAAAAGTAAACCCCTTTGCCCTCGTATGCAGGCATTTGCAAGGAACACTTTGTATACGGGGTCATCACAAGAGCAATGTGAGCATTGTAGTAAAGCGGATCGCACAGTCACCTAATTGCTCACCAAACTCCAATGTCAGTCAGGTACACATTGAATATAGACTGAACCACCAATATGTCAACCAAGTGCAGTCATTGCCCGGGTTGAGCAACCTTGGCTGCAACGATCAAAACATAGCCCCCTTCAGAGCATGTTTAGACAAGCAGTTGACCCATCTGGCTTTTTACCTCTGCAGTTCCGTTCATGGTTTCATCTTGCTTTTTGCGAGGAAGGCTGAATAACTGAAATTGGGGGGCCTTTTGCCCACCCCCCCCCCCCCCTTTTCCCGGACGGTAGGGATATTGAGCAACTTGGGAGACCTGCCCGTTGTTTCTGCTTGCGGACACTCTTCTTACAACGACCCTGTTTTGTACCGACTTGCTTTTTACCCCCTGCTTTGTGGGCCAAGCAAAAACGATGGGCGAAAATCTCAACCACAATGAACAGGTCAATTTGCTCCCCGCTTGCGGCAGGATCTGTGCCTTCGCAAACAACCAGTTTGCCATCGACCACGCGCTCGGAGACTTCAGGCGTGGGTTGGTGTTAAGACCAAGGTGCCTCAAGGATGTTGTGGATGGACAGAATCCTTCACCTATTCATACGGTTTCATCCATCCCAGCTGGTGCCAATCCAGAGTATGAGAGTATGGGCGCGTCAATTTTGAGTGCACCAATTTTGGTGGCCTTAAAGGACAACCAACAGGCAGTAACCTTTATGGAGGTTTGTGTCCCGCAAACTAAGACACACCCATGTGAGTTAAGACACCCTCGAAAGCGATTTGTGAAAATAACTCCCTTGTAAATCCTTCTAACCATGATTGCTACTAGTAATGGATGATAGGTGACTGAATTGAGTATGGTGCTTGGACATTTTTCGACTTTGGCTGTTTGCTTGCCTTGCACCGAGCCCAAATCAATTAATGGTCTTCCAGAACCCCCTGTCAGGTTCCATGTTATTTGGTGGGAGGGCAGTTCAACTGGTTGGTGTGCTTTTGGTTCACCACTAGACCCCTTCAAAAGCGGCTTCCTAGATTTGGATGCGCTCAGATGCAAAGATGGGGCTTGGCCAGAGCTTCCGGGATTTGGTCAGTTTGGGAAACTGAGGACTCACGAGAATTCAAAATGAGACACACGAATTGGCCCATGTGCATCACCCTGGCATATGTTGACCTTGGCTCAGTTGCCTGAAACGGATGGATCTTTCACAGAAACCTGATGGGGCATCTCATGAAAAAGGTTTGGGCTTATTTCCCGCTTGCTTCTTGGATTTATAGGAGTTGACGTGATGGACACCGCCCCCTTTTTGGGGTGGTTGAACATAGGCATGTTCTGGAGAGGTGTTTTGTGATGGTCAGAAGGTTATCGAGTTCAAAGCCGTCATTTTCCAAGAGGACCCCAAGCTCGTTTTAGCACAGCGACAGATCAGTGAATTCCAATCTTTTGGTATTGGGCCTCAGATTAGCTTCCAGGGATTGTAGCAATTGCACGTGTTCTGCTGGTGAAATCTATTGCGTATGGGTAGATCCAACTGACTACAAAGAGCATCAGCCAGGATGTACCGTTTGATTCAGCTAATTTACGAGCAACTGTTAAAGTTACGTTCATATTTGAGCTGTAGAGGAGATGGCAGGATAAGTTGGGGCACATGCCAAATGTCCACGCATAACAAAGCGCGAGCAAAAGTCAAAGTTTGAACTTTTGGACACCTCCGAGCCTCCAGCGACTGCCAACCATGAATACACACGCCCGATGTTCTGGGTTCTTCGCATGCAGTTTTTGCTTCGGTAGAGTTTCGCAACCAATCCAACCGCTTCTCTCGGATTGGACAACTCGGTGTGCTATTCAGCCCTTCCGCGCTAAGGCTAGAAAGTCGGAAGAATCCACTGTGGCCATGAATTTTTAATAGGGAACCACCTATTAACAATTTCATAGCCACGTGTTCCTTTTTCTTAAGGCCAACTTCCCCTAAGGCTAAGTCGGAAGACTCCAATGTGGCCATGAATTAAGGCAACCGAGTGAAGGCCAACAAATCGAAAGACTCGGCTTCGCTTCGCCCAGCAACGGCGCCACGCCCCGCACCGCGGTGATGAGCTCCGCCTTCGCCAGCGCGCTGGAGCGGTGCTCGGAAAATCGGGCGGGGCGTTTTCCTTTGGGCGGGAGGCTCGCTTTTTGGGCTCGGGTAGCTGTGTAGTCTGTTGCTTTTCTTGAGGGTTTTGGGTTTAGGCTTTGGGAGGGTAGCTGTTCGGTCGCCTTTTTTTTTTTGCGCGGGTCCTCACTGGGGAAAACAGAGACCCAACCAGATTTCCCGTCTTGGGCGGTTTTACACATCATCTACACCCACATCGCCAACACATGACCTACATATCACCTACACATCACCTACACATCACCTTTTGGAAAAAGGCAATTTCAAACTGAGCTTCCTTCGGGATGATGTTTAAAGGGAATTAATAGAGATTGTGGATGGTACCGCCCTGGTGTCACTGTACAAGCCTAACAACAGCCACCAGTCAGGGGTAGAGTTAGTATACCTTTACATTCTGCTGACCAGATGTGAACTAATAAATAGTTTATGCCTCAACTCATACGTGGGCTGGAAGTCAAAAGGGAGACGGAAAACAACAAACACGCCAAGAGGAATATTATTCTATTTCTGCCTGGCAATGGACAATGCTGACAGTCCATGGAGGAGCCTCCTTCATCCCGCTCTGTGCTGGAAAATGGGAGAGATTGCATAGAGATAAAAATATGTCAAAATAAATTAGTTCTTGAGTCGATAGAACTTATTAATTTTAAGCGAGAATGCCTGAAGACACTCCAAAGGGTTGGTGGATATGACTTCCCATGCAAAGGATTTCCGCCAAAGGGTCCCCAAGGAACACACATTCTCATATTATTTACATCAGGGCCTACGCCATCACATAGGTTACAGGGCTCCAAATTTTCTGCTCCTTCGGCCTGAATGAAGGGGGGTTTGCCCAGTGGCATCTTTGAGCTTCTCATTTTTGGAGCTTTGAAAGAGGCGACACAGGTCCTTTGTTCCTTCAGGAACACCTACACGCGGGACAGGACCCACATCGCTATAGCTTTTTACCTACGGCCTACAAATAACTCCCCTTTTTTCTTTTCTTTATTTGACTGTTTCTTGGTTGAAAGAAACAACCAACAAGAAAACAATGTTTTGGGGTGCCCCGATTCTGAAATTCTGATACATTCTTTTTCTGACACAAGGATTCCAGTTGAACTCAAAGCCTCGAAGGCTCGCATCAGGACTCGGTGCATGACGTCGTGGCGGTGCTGGATGACCAGGCCAAGATCTACACGAGGCACCACGTTCCATCCGTTCTAGACCAAAAAGACGAAGGGTCCTTTCTGGAGTGTCGGGTGCCCGGTGAACACTGTTCCCAAGTGAAGGTGAGAAAGGATGGACTTATCAGGGCACCTTCCACTACAGTAGCACGTCGGGGCCCGTCGGGGGGTTCAAGTGTGGCATGTTGGGTCAGTTGGATCCAGATGATGCTGATTGTCCTGGTCGCCCGATTCATATCATTGAAGGGTGGACATACACGCACACAAACACGCGCACACACACACACATATATATATATATATATATATACATACACATATATATATATATATATGTATATGGTATACATACAGAATATATATATATATACACATATACACCGTGTATATATATATATAATACATTGGGGTTGTGTCTTTGCGGTGGCACGGGGAATTGAAGGGACACCAGCCATTTTGTTGGTGCTCCCATTTCAACACCTGTGGCGGCGTGGCCAATCTTGTGTGGCTTCCTCTTGTTTCGCTTTGTGGCCAATGCTCAACTTGGGTTTGTATCAAAACTGGGAACCTTCCCAAAGGCTTAGTTTCATTTTGGTTATCCCTGAAAAACAGGGCGCAATTGCCCTTTTACAACTTGGCAACCCATGTCGTGCAGGATCTGGTGCTGCTTCGAGCTGTTTTCGGTCGCGCGCTTGCTTCCTCAGCGCGCCTTGGTTTTCTGCGGCGGACTGGTGTGTCTTTTTTCGAGGGTACTCGCACATTTTGCGGGTTGTTTAAAGAGATCCACCCTTTTTGGGAGGCTTCACTTGGGATTTGAGGGCCATGCTAGGAATCTCCCAATGGTAGTTCTGTACAAAGGAAGACCCTGATTCTGGTCCGGATCTTCCTGCCACAATGGCATCTCGGCAAGTTTGGTTTGGCCTTTTGGCTGCCTTCCCTGGCTTGCGAACGGAAGCGTTGAGCAAATTGAGATCAGACCTGGCACCCCGAAAAAATCGTTTGGAGAGGGATTTTCTAGAAGCAAACGCCCCCCCCCAAAAAAGGGTTCCATGTTTATTTGCTGGGGAGCAGGGTTTGTTTCACGGCTGCACCAATCCGCGGCCACACCTGGCGCTGTTCCCAAAATGAACCCATTGAGGGGGATTGGGGCTTGGGATTTTCGATGCCAAAAAAGACGGACACGAAGCTGGGGGTTGATCACAGGCAGATCTTCCTCGCCTGGAGCCTGACAAAAACCAAGTATTTCATCTGCCTTCTTAGCTTATATATGGGTGATGAAATCATGGGCTTCTGATTGGACCCCCTTTCAGGGCGGCGCAACAGCTTACCCAAAAAGACGTCCCCCCCCAAAAAAACGTTTGACCTGGATGGGCGTCCCCTTCAGGATGGTTTGCGATCCGATAGGAAAATGTATGGCCCACCTGCGGAGGCTTCTGATTGGCGGCCTGTCGCTTTGCCAACTGAGGCAGAGGAAAGTCTTTGGAGATCTTCATAGCCAACGAGTCCGGGGTGCGCTGGGCCGAATCGGTGCCCGAATCGGTGCCCGAATCGGTGCCCGAATCGGTGCCCGAATTTCGAGTCAATCTAGGGGGCGAGGGTACGCTGCAACCGTCAGACCCCAAACATGTGAGCCAGAATCAAATCCTGGATTCATGAATCAATAATGAGCCAAGACCGGCGCAGTCTGCCACTGGGCAGGTGGTGAGCTCTGGCTGTGGTGATGTGTCAATGATGTCGGCGCTGCTAGAGAAGGCGCGGCGCCCAAAAGGAGACACACACACACACACACCGACAAATACACACGCAAACCAACACACACTCCAACAAACACACACACACACCCACACACACACACACCCACCCACCCACCCACCCACCCACCCACCCACGCACGCACGCACGCACGCACGCGCGCGCGCACGCGCGCGCTACGCACCCGCACGCACCCGCACGCGCACGCACCCGCACGCACCCGCTCGCGCATGCCAACCCGCACCCGCACGCGCACACACGCGCACGCGCACGCGCACGCGCACGCGCTCGCGCACGCGCACGCGCACCCGCACCCGCACCCGCACCCGCACCCGCACCCGCACCCGCGCCCGCACCCGCACCCGCACCCACACACACGCACACGCACCCACACACACGCACACGCACCCACACACCCACACAACCACACACCCACACGCCCACACACCCACACGCACGCACGCACGCACGCACGCACGCAAGTACGCACGCACGCACACACACACACACGCACGCACACACACCCACACCCACACCCACACCCACACCCACACCCACACGCACACGCACACGCACATGCACACTCACACGCACACGCACACGCACACGCACTCGCGCACGCACACGCACCCGCACGCGCACTCGCACGCACACGCATACGCACACGCACACGCACACTTGCACACGCACACACACACACACACACACACACACACACACTCGCACAACTCGCACACGCACACTCGCACACGCACACGCGCACACGACCACTCGCACACACGCACGCCCACGCGCACGCCCACTCGCACGCACACGCACACGGACACGCACACGCACACGCACACGCACACGCACACGCGCACGCGCACGCGCACGCGCAACTGCACGCGCACGCGCACGCGCACGCGCACGCGCACGCGCACGCGCACACGTGCGCACGCGCACGCTACACGCTCATGCGCACGCACACGCACACGCACACGCACTCACGCACGCGCACGCACACGCACAGGCCCACGAGCACGCGCACGCGCAC